ACCTGTATGACAGTGATGTTTTTAACTTTTTGCAAATTATGCTTTGATAGAGCAACTTAGTAAGAATGCAACAAATCTTTGATGACTCAACTAGCTGACTGACTCTTAGAATAAACTCTGACAGGGCCCTCCAGTGGAGAACATTAGGTGAGCAAAAGGAAAAGAAAAAGAGAAAACTATTGAAAAATACAGTCTTGTTCTTGGGGAATTTGCTGGAGAATAGGAAAACTTGATGTTCATACCTTGAAAAATTAAAAAGCAGTTTCAGACCAGGCACGGTGGCTCATGCCTGTAATCCCAGCACTTTGGGAGGCAGAGGCGAGTGGATCACCTGAGGTCAGGGGTTCGAGACCAGCCTGGCCAACCCGTCGCTACCAAAAATACAAAAATTAGCCAGGCGTGGTGGCACATGCCTATAATCCCAGCTACTTGGGAGGCTGAGGCAGGAGAATCACTTGAACCCAGGAGGTGGAGGTTGCAGTGAGCTGAGATCATGCCATTGCACTCCAGCCTGGGTGACAAGAGTGAAACTCCATCTCAAAAGAAAAATAAAAGCAGTTGCAAAGACTTCGATTAAGAAGTAGACATATACACAGAAGGACAGTTGTGTTGGCTGATATTTTCTTCACTAAGAAGCCCTCTCTATTACAGATCTATAGCCTAGACTCTAGTGTGGGTACCAAGTAAACTGGAATAGGTAGCTCTGGAGTTGGGGTCTATGTGGCAGTGGCTGCTGGTGCTTCCCAAGATCTGTCTTCTCTCCTTTGCTCAGACAACATTGCTAAAGTATTTTTCCCCATCCCCTTTGCAGTTAGTGGTGGCCATGTGACTGAGCTCTACTCAATGGAATTTGAAGGGATGTGAGTCATCTCCAGACAGGACCCATGAAAACTTCCCAGAAGCAATTCTCACTCTCTCTTCTCCCATCCACTGGCAGAATGAGTGGGCTCCAAGGAGTTGGAAGGGGGTACAGCCATTGGAGGAAGGAGCTTTGCTTCCAAAAGACCATGTGGAACAGTTTCCTTACTGACCCACACTGAAGGCGAACTTTTATTGGGTTAGCCACGGAGATCTTGGGGTTGTTTGCTGAGTAGTTAGACTGCTCTGGAAGCTAGAGGGCTCGATTCAGACCTCTCTCTTTCTAGAAGTCCTCCCTAACCATTCCAGTCCACAGTGACCTTATCATTTAGTGACCTAATATGATAGCACATGCTATCTGACTCATGAAACCCTGCATTTATGTACTTTTTGAGTTATTTAATTAATTAATATTTAAACTGTATTCCAAGGAAAACCACCTCTCAAGATAATGTTGCTAGGTATTTCATTAAAAAGAGTTCCATGGGTAAATAAGTTTACGGAAACATTACATTGAATGGGTTTCATTTTTGCAGGAATTTCCAAAATTTCTAATGAGATAATGGAATTTGTATAGTTAAAGTAGAGTTATAGAATACAGAGTTTCTCTCTTTGATCATGGGATTTTTTTTTTCATAAACTACAGTTTGGGAAACACGCATATGATGCTTTCACTTGCATATATATATATATATATATATATATATATATATTGTGTCTCTCATGAGGTACAAATCATGAAGAAGTAAATTTATTGTGATCTGATACTCTGTACTCAAAGTATAAAACACAATGTGATAGTGACCATCTCTGAGAGGACAACAGAGTAACAGTGTAGAAAACTTAACTCTGGGTGAGATACAGAAGGAAGGCTTTAGGGAGGCAAGAGATATGGGTTGGACCTTAGATGAACAGAAGTTTTCCAGTGGGGAAAGAACAGGTGGGTTGACAGTAAAAAACACCTCAGGTAAAGGGAACAACATGCACAGAAAGGGGAGTAAATTTTGGCAATGGAAATTAAACAGAAGCAGTTGGATTCTGCCTGCCAAATTTACACTTGCTATTCCAGCTCCTTCCTGCACTGCTTTGAAAAGAATCAACACCCCTTCTCCCTCTACTGTACAACTGCAGGCCCCTGGAGAGCAAGGATCATGTCTTATTTGTCACCTCAACCCCCTTTCATTTATGTGACCTGAGACAGAGTTCACGTACAGGTGAGGTTACACAGCCCTCTGAGATTTATCATCTGAAAATGGGATGTACAGCCCTCATGGGGTGGTGATATTATTTAAATTAAAAAATGAATGCTAAGCATTTAACATTGTGCCTGGCACACAGTCCATGCTCTAGAAACATTAGCTCCTAATATCATTAGCTAGAGAAAAGCTTGTGGAAAAAAAGAAAGCAAGGCGGGAAAGGGGAAAGGAGTGAGACAAGAGGCTCCCAGGGACATCTAGCTCTCCCGTTTCATTTTCCCACGTAGCTAAAACTGAAAGGCAGAGGTCCCTTTCCCGCTATTTTGGAAACAATCCTTCCTTTACTTCATTTTTCAAAATCTGAAGAGAGATGTTGGGTCAAACATCCATGTGTACCGCCAAGGGCCGGGGTCAGGGACGAAGATCACACAGGATGCAACGGGACGAAGGGAACAGAGGGTCCTTTGGAGAAGAACAGCTCCTGCCTGCACCACTCCTTGTGCTGGTGTCTGTTTGCATCCACACACAGGCCAGGCCTGTGGGCCCTGGGGTCCCTGGGAAAGCACGCTGGAGGGTTTGTTTTGTCCTTGGCCCGCGTCCCTGGGATCTAATGAGAAACCAAAGGAACAGAGAGAGCCTGGAGCCTCCTCTTCGGGGGCCTATGTACCTGACATATTGTATTTTTACAATAAAATTCATAACATGGAGAGGCCAGAGAGCCAAAGATGTGGCTTTTAGAGACCAATTAATTCCAGAGAGTTTTAAAGCAGTGCCAGCTGCTTTGGAGGGGACATGGGGATACAGGGAGAAAAATGTCCGTCTCGTTGCACTAGCATTTCCCACTGCCCCAAATGAGAAGGGAGTGAGACCACTGGGAAGAACGCCGGGTTGGGACAGGAAGACAGGAGTTTGGTAAGAGGAGAATAATGCCCCACTGGGCAGACCCCTTGGATGGGATCAGAGGTGAACAGACAGCTTTTCTGAGAACAAGCATCTCTGGAGATGCTTTGCTGACAGAGTTGAGGGCTGAAAGGTCCCCCCAAAAATGTGTTGAAGGGGTACACAGAGCAGAGTCCCACCTGGAGTGACCTTGGCATCCCAGGACTCCTGGGAGTAGGCTACAGGGCATATTGGGCATATGGAAGGATGGAATGGAGGTCAAAAGTCCTTGCATTTACCTTTAGTTTTGGGGGAAAGGGAGTATTTAAGCAATATATACTAGATTTATAGTATATACTAAGTAATATATTAAGTAATATTAAACATATATTACATAATATTACTTCATTTTCCTCCTCATGTTCTGTGTTTTCAAGCAGATAGACATACATATATATGTCTCTCTCTCTCTCTCTCTCTCTCATATATATGTATGTCTACCTGCTTGAAAACAGAATAACATGAGGAGGAAAATGAAGTATATATTACTTTCTTTCTCTCTATATATATATAGAGAGAGAGAGAAAGAGAGAGAAAGGAGGAAGGATGGAGACATACCCAAATATTAATATGGATTTATTGATTATTTCAGAATAATGTGATAATAGGTGATTTTTTCCTTCTGTTTTGAAGCCTGGGAGATGGGAGGAAATTCACCTTTGTTTCTGTTTGTATGTACTTTCTCATTATTTAACAAATGTAGAATAGTCCGGAGAGAAAAATAGAAAAAACTGAAATTACAGTTGATCTTCATTTTCCTCCTCATGCTCTTCTGTGTTTTCAAGCCCACTATAACAGGTTTTACAATTTGAATCAGAAGCATCAATCATTCATATTTCAAAAGGCCAGCATGTCCTTCATAGCTCGCCTTTGGCCTCTGGGAAAGAGGCTGGATTTCTGCCACTAGCCAGGCCTTTGTCTTCAGGTACCATGAGTTCTCAGGATTCAGTCTAGCACGGGGCCTTAAAAAGTCATGTAGGCTCCTCGGGGCTCACTAGTTTTGTAAGATGGAAATGCCTTCTTTGCCTCCTGCAAAGGGCCCTTGTGAACATTCTTTGCTGATTGTGAAGACCCACATAGATATGGAGAGAAAACAGACTCCTGTGGAAGTGTAGACGCTTCCTCTGAGTTCTGCTAAACCCTTACTGGTATAAATGGCTGCAAGTGATTTAAAGATGAAGGAGCCATTTGCCTGGCAGGTAATAAAGGGCAGGCAACGGGATGGTGGTCTTTCCCACAGATGGAGGCCGTGAGAACTGGCCCTGAGCCACCGCAGCCTGGGCTATTCCTCCCCAGACCTTCTGCCCCAGATTAAAGGGAACAATGAAATTCCCCCCACCGCAGTCCTCTACTCAAAAACCATTAAAGGGCCTGCCCCCATAGCTACAAGACACAGGCCTAGTCCATGTTCTTCTGTGTGGTCCACCAGACCTTTTACAATCTGATCCCAACCCACTGCCCAAGATCCATCTCTCTCTCATACTTAATGCATCAACCAGTCATTCCCACAATATTGTGGATGCTTCCAGGACTCCGGGTATTCTCATACACTGTTCTTTCAGCCATAAGCCCTCTCCGTTCCTTATGTGACCAGGTGTTAAGATCCAGTTTCAATGTCGCCACTCCCCGCTGCCCCCTGCAGTTGGCAGAGCTGTTAGCACAGGTTGCTGTTTACCGAGCACTGGATGTAAACCTCCACAGATGTACGCAGGCAGAAACAGTGACTTTCTGCATGGGTGTGTGTGTTTGGGCATACATAGATCTAGTATACAGAGATAATAGTTTCTGAACAATGATTTATATTTGCTCCTACAATAACAATGGCCATGATAATGATTATGACAATGTCTTGTTAATTTTTTCCCAGCCCTCGTGTAAATAGGAACACAGTAAGTGAATGTTGAACAAGTGATCAAGCACACTGCTCCAAGTGGAAGAGGTAGGAGGAGGGGAGGGGAGTGGAGGAGAAGCACTGAAAGAATCTCATTCTACGTGCTGTGAACTCACAGGGTGGTCTGCATCCAGCTCTGCTCCGTAGCTGAGAATCTGATTGGCAAATCTGTCCAGCTCTTGAATGGTTCTCGGGAACCAGGGCACTGCAACACAGAGAAGGCAAAGTCCTGAGTGCAGAGTGACATGGCCAAAGGCCTCGCTGAGATCAGAAGTGGGGATCCCGGTCAGTGGTGATGGCAGGCGGGCTTCCAGATAACTCCAAAATTACTATTATTCAAAAGTTAAACTCAGTTTCCTTAGAAACTCATTCCCAAATACATTCTCTTTCCTGGAGATTTTCTCTGAATTATCTCAAAACTCATCTCCCTCCCACCCATCATGGCAGTTTTCTTTGACGGTTTTCATTAGCAGCAGAATTTTTTATTTTATTTTATTTTATTTTTTGCTCTGTTGCAGACTGGAGTATATTGGCACATGATCTTGGCTCAGTGTGACCTCTGCCTCCTGAGTTCAAGCGACTCTCCTGCCTTAGCCTCTTGAGTAGCTGGGATTACAGAAGTGTGCCACCATGCCTGGCTCATTTTTGTAGGTTTTTTTTTTTTTTTGGTAGAGACAGAGTTTCACTATGTTGGTCAGGCTTGTCTCGAACTCCTGACCTCAGGTGACCTGCCCCACGCCCCTTGGGGTCCCAAAGTGCTGGGATTATAGGCATGCCCCACCGTGTCCGGCCATTAGCAGCAGAATACATACAGTCCCAAAATATAAATTATAGAAAACCAGACTGTTCTCACGTAAACAAGTTTGTGAGAACCCATTTTCCCATTATGTATTTCCCTTCCAAAGGCCCCAGGCACTGCAGCAAAATCTTTCTATCACAAATCCAGTTAGAAAGCTACTGTTGAAGCAGAGGGAATGGAGTCAGGCAGTTGGGATGTGAAGACGCCTCACAGCACCTAAAGGATTTCAGATTTGCTTCTGAGGCAGCATAGAGGGGAAGGGGTTGGGCTTGAGTGGGGTGGACTACAACACCCAGGTCCTGCAGAGAGAGCGGCCCAGGGAGGGCACGTGGCAGCACCAAAATCCTTGTGGCTTACAGGAAACAAGACACATCACAGGTGAAATTGTCCCAGGAATGAACAGAGACAAGGACATTCTCGACTGTAAGTTCCATGAGGGCAGAAGCCTGGGGTACTTTGTTGTACCAGGCATAAAGAGAAAAAGAAGGGAGGAAGGAAAAGGGAAGGGAGTGAGAGAAGGGGGAAAGAAAAGTCATCTTAAAAGTCATGAGCTCACCCTGGTATGTTAACATTTAAGGTGTTAACAGCAGTAACCACCATCCAGAGTGCCTGTTCTGGTATAGTTGTTATTTCTGAAGTACCGCCGAGATAAGGAAGGCATTATAACCCTTCTTGCGTGGATAAGAAACTGAGGCTCTAAAAACCAACTCTAAAAGCTGGTCACACCAGGAGTAAGAAAGTGGTGGATTCAAGAAGAATCCGCAGAGCCAAAACAGATGTACTGGGAACCTTGAAGTGAGCTCAAGGCTTCCAGGCCTGAAATGAGGTCGAGGGGAAGATGCTGGACTTCCAATCAGCATCTGGTCTGGTTTAGAATACAGGCTCCATCTACCTGTTTATCGTCTCTGTGTCTCAGTCACTCCTCCATCAAATGGGAATAAAACGAACGTAGGAAGAACAGCAAACGTGTTTTTGAAGACTTCCCATGTGCCAGGCACTGTGCGTAGCATTTCTGCTTCAGCAGTTCCTTGAATCCGAGGATCCTTGTGGGCAGTGAATGAGGAACAGGCAAAGGACGCCGCTCAGTGTCTGGCACATGAAAGGTGACTTTCCATCTGACACCCGTTATTCATGATTCTGACCAGCTTAGATGGAGAAGGAAAGAGCATGCGTGCCATCTAGTGGCCAACCTTCGGAAATGCCATCCATGATTTAAACAGGAACCTCAGGAGGAGCAGCAGCTGCATTCCAGCAAAACAAGAACTGATTCCAGCAGTTCATAAAGGTCCATTTATAGCCTTGTTTCTGCAGAGCTGAGGAGGCTAGGCTCTCTACCACCCATGTTAGCAATACAAGCTAACACTGAATACTGTTTTAAATATTTTACCTGTGAGGTGGATACTATTAATATTCCCATTTTAAAGACAAGGATACTGAGGTACAGAGAGGTTTAGTGCAAACCCAAATACACACACTGCTAGGAAACAGTGGAATCAGGATTCAAATGCAGGTTCAGCTGACTCTCTGGCCTCTGGTCTTGATCGCCAATCCATCCTGCCACTCATGGGAAGGTGGCAGAGCATATTGGTGAGGGTGGCTGGCTCTGGAGCCAGATTTCCTGTCCAGACATTTCCATGCCCCTAAGCCTGGCCCTCTTTTTCCACATTGGCTCCTTATGGTGAGCAAGAACAGAAGCAGATGCTGTAGCCATCATTCCAGGTAACGCTTCCATCGTACTTGCTGTCTGTCAGACACTGCCCTAAACATTTCACATATGTACCCCCTTCAATTTTACAACAATCCTTTGAGGTGTGTATTATTATTATCCCATTTGACAGATGAAGAAATCGAGGGACAATGAGGACAAGCCTCTTGATAGACTTCCCTGGTCCCAACTGCTGAGACTTTGGAGTCTCAGATGACACAACACCATGCTCTGCTGACTTGCTGAAGAACCTGGCTTCCTGCCTTATCACCTACACTCCCCTGCAAGCTCTCCTTCCTCTGTGAGTCTAGCATTTGCACTGCACACTGAACCTCTGCTGTCAGTGCCAGAAATGGGGACTGTTTCCTACCCAGGTTTGCAAGGGCTTGAGAAAGGAATCAGCACTTCAGAGTCATCCACGGCTCAGGATCTTCTAAGAGACCTTTCTTGTTTCTCCAGAACATTGCCACCGAGAGGTTTCAATGAATGGCGCCCAACTGGACAAGGGGGCCTGTCCCTCTCCTCTGTGTTCAGGACCATGGATAACCCCATCCCCTCACTGGGAAGGTATCCTGTCTCCATTCATTCATTATCTCTCTTTTGCCTGGGAATCATTCATAATTCTGGCAGTCACGGCTGCCCCAGAAATAAGGCAGGCCAGTCCTTTCTTGCTGCACCCCTTCTTACTTAGGGGACCCTTAGAATCACCAAAGGAGATTCCACAAATATGTACGGAGCACCTCCTGCATACCAAGCACAAAGCAGTGGGGGTGCATACAAGGGAGTCTCCACCCTTGTGGTACTTATATTCTGGCAGGGGAAATACAAAATAAGTAATAAATAAATGTAAATACACGACAATGTCAGGAATTTCTTGAAGAAGAAGAATAAAGAAGGACAAGAAAATAGGAAGTGACAGGGATGCTCTATTTTTAAAATACTTTTTTAAATATTCCGTCTTTATTGGGGTATAATTGAACAATAAAAATTGTATATATTTTTATAATATAAAATTACAATTGTATAAAATTGCATTAAATTATATAATTTATATATGTTTACAATTATATTTGTATATATTGCATATATTTTATTTATTTATTTATTTATTTATTTGAGACAGAGTCTCACTCTGTCACCCAAGCTGGAGTGCAATGGCACAGTTTCAGCTCACTGCCACCTCTGCCTCTTGGGTTCAAGTGATTCTCCTGCCTCAGAGTAGCTGGGATTACAGGTGCGTGCCACCACCTCCAGCCAATTTTTGTGTTTTTAGTAGAGACAAGGTTTCACCATGTTGACCAGGCTGGCCTCAAACTCCTAATCTCATGATCCGCCCACCTCAGCCTCCCAAAGTGCTGGGATTACAGACGTAAGCCACTGCGCATGGTCTATTGCATATATTTTATATAAAACTTATATATGTTTGTAATTGTACAAGTATAAATACAATGTAATTAATACATGCATACATCATGGTTACCATGATCAAGTTAATGAACATATTCATCATCTCATGTAGTTGTCATTTTTCCAATGGGGGTGGAGGGGACAAAGACACTTCAGATCTCTCTGAGCAAATTTCAAGTACATAGGGAAGTGTGATTAACAATAGTCACCACGCCGTATATTTGATCCCCAGCACTTGCTCATCTTATGACTGAAGCTTTGCACCCTTGACCATCTCCCAAGTCTCTCATCACCCTACCTGCTGGAAACCACCGTTCTACTCTCTGCTTCTATGAATTCAAGGTTTTTTTTAATGGATATAAGTGATAACGTGCAGTATTTGTCATTCTGTGTCTGGCTTATTTCACTTGGCATAATGCCCTTAGGGTTCACCCATGTTGTCCCAAATGACAAGATGTCCTTTTTTATGGCTGAATAACATATTCTATTGTGTGTGTGTGGAGGGGGGGCGGGTATCACATTTTCTTCATTCATCCACCTGTTGATGGACATGTAGGTGGTTTCCCTTGGCTGTTGTGAATAATACTGCAATGAACAAAGAGATATGTAGATATCTCTGATATATTGCTTTCATTTCCTTTGGATATATACTCAGATGTGAGATTTCTGGAAAGTATAGCAGTTACATTTTAATTTTTTTTTGAAGAACTTTCATGCTGTTTTCCATAATGGCTGTGCCAACTTACATCCCCACCAGGAAAGTACAAGGGTTCCCCTTTCTCCACGCCCTTGCCAACACTTATCTCTTGTCTTTTTTATGTTAAAGACAACATGCTATTTACTGAGACATCCTATGCCTCTAGACCCCAGAGGAAAGACCCTGGGACTTGACATTGCCTTGCCATTGTTCAATAGAACCTGGGATAGTCAGGATCTGTCCCTAGTCCAGAGTTGGCTTTCTGTTTGGGTCATGAATAGCCAGTCCTGCAATGGTTGAGAGTCTTGTAACAGACAGACAGCCCAGGTTTGCATTTCATCTCTGCACTTACTATCTATGAGCCAAGAAAAAGTTATTAAATCTCTCTGTGCCTCACTCTTCCTGTCTTTGAAATTGTGGTAATAGTAGTACTACAAACTATTGCTTTATAAGAACAACATGATGTTAAATGAGTTAATATGCGTGATTTATCGTAAACAGTACTGACACAGTAGATAGTATTACTGTTCAGCTGTGAGTTACATGATGTGTGTGTATGTATATGTACACATACACATGTATTATATATAATTATAT